TGGGCTGCAGCAGCGGGAAGGGCTGGAATTCGTACCTGCCGATCAGCACCCCCGCGGATGGTTCGACCAAGGTGTTGGACGAGGCCGCGAGCCGCACTGACGTGATCTGTGTAGGGTGGATGGCGACAGTGACTCACCCTGGGACCTCAGGTTTCGTGTTGAGATTCCCGAGTTTTTAGGAAGAGCGGATGCAGTGGAGTTCCTCTACTAGTGGGCTGCAGTTGAGTCTGTCCTCAAATTTAAGGAGGTCCCAGATGAAAGGGGTGTCGCGCTTGTCATCACGCGGTTTCGTGGACAAGCGGCACCATGGTGGATGCAACTCACAAGTTTGCGGCATCGCCAAGGGAAGCCAGAAATCTTCACTTGGATGCAGTTCCTTAAATACGTAGAATGTGAATTTCTACCTTTTAATTATGATCATGTGATTTATCAGCAGTTACATAATTTGCGGCAAGGACCGCGTTCGGTTCATGAATATACATAGGACTTTTATCGCCTCTTAACTCGTGTGGAGATACGTGAGACGAAGGGCCAGTTGGTTGCTCGGTATGGTTTGAATATTGCTATCTAAGATATGCTTAATCTTGTTGTCCCGGAGTCTGTTTCGGATGCGCATCAACGAGCTCTTGTTTTTGAAAAACAGTTGGCCGTAAGACAGGTTCATCCATTGCGTCTTCCTCTAAGGCGGATGCATCTCTGGGTGGTGGTGTGCAGTCTGGACGTGGATCACATGCTACAGGCGTGTATCTGGGATCAGCACCGGCAATGGGCGCGGAGCAGTGGCCAGCGGTGGGCTGCCACAATCAAGCGGCGACATGGGGCCGACTCTAGCCATCGGTACACAGTAAGCTGGTGGGGGAATATGATGCTTCGGCTGCGGTGAGCTTGGCCATCGCAGGCGGCTTGTCCAAGAGAGGTCGGGTCACGTGCTTTGTTCGCCGAGGAAACAACAGAATATTCGGCAGCCGCAGTATATGATGGTCCTCCTATTTTTTACAAGGAGCCGGAGGTTCCGGTGGAGCATGTCTTGGGGACGTGGGTCACGCACTTGTCCTTCATTGATCCTTCTTGTCTCCTCATTTTTCTTCCAACAATGACAGTCAGCGCTGACACCTTTTTGGGTCTACTTGTACCATTGGCAGTCGAGTGTGTCGTTTTGAGATCGATTCCAGCTTCTGCGAGAACGTGATTTCGGTTGAAGCCGTTCGAAATGGGGTTGGTGAGTGAGCCGCATCCGGATCTCTACTCTCTCGCGTGGATACAACATGACAACACTATCTCTGTTACATATCGTGTACTGGTTTATTTTTCTATCGGCGCTTCATATAAGGATACGGTGTGGTGTGACATTGTGCCAATAAATGCGTGGCACCTTTTGTTAGGGTGTCCTTGGAAGTTTGATCGAGCCGTGGTGCATGATGGGCGCCTTAACACGTATGAGTTTACATTTGACGGTGTCCGCTTGGTTTTGCATCATGCAGCTACCCATTCGATTTCGGTGTCCCCACCAGCGGCCTTATTTCTCTCCCGTGACGGGGCATGCGAAGAGGTGTGTGGTTCATTGGACCATCGTTCGATGGTGTATGATGTGGGCGACTTTGTGTGGGTTGTTTCCCCACGGACGGACGAGTGGGCCCTTACGAGGTTATCGATTGGCTTCCTCCAGATGGATACCGTCTTCGCTTGCCCTCTCATGCTCGTTTGTCGGATGTTTTTCACATGGCGGGGCGCCTTTGCACGTCAACGACTCCGACGGAGACGAGTTCAGTCCGAATTCGAGGGCGAATCCTTCTCAACCAGAGGAGGATGATGGAGTCAAGCTCGCGATGGATTTTCTGGACAAATACGCTCAGCTTCCGATGTTGATTTGATTAGTCACTTTGCATTATTATTAGTATTATCTTTATTATTTATTCATCTTAATTAGTTGATTAGGAAAATATTTATTTACTTTCTTATCAAGATAGGGATTTAGAAAATCTTGGACTTTATTTATTCTCATTGGAGGATGAGAACAGACGATCAGTTGATGTTTAAGAAATAAAATTTGTTCTTGTGTGGTTTAACGAGAGAGCGAGAGAGTATTTGTTTTATCCCGTTCTTATTCACGTTCTACATCAATAGTGAATTAAAGTTGATAAGATAAATATGAATAATTGATTGTATTATTTAATTATATTCATAATATTAATTATAGTAAAATTGTGTTAAAGTTGAATTATATTTTGAGTATGAATTGGAAAAATTTATAGAGAAGCACACTCTTAACGCAGTCATTTTCTTGGTTTTTTCAATCTGATCTGTACTAGATTATATATTAGCTTCTAATCAATATGTCAAAAAGACGTGATATTTCACGTGAAAGAAATGGACAGATTAACAAAATACTGTTCTTTAAAAAATTCTTTAAAGTTTGATTTTGAAATAGTTGAATGAGTTGGACAGAACTAATCAACGTTGCATATTATATATAGTTCTATATATTGAGAACGGTCAATATGTTCCATTATTTGACCGCTGTACCCTCTTACTTTATCAAGTTCATTAATATAGTAATACTAGTATTAATACAATGTTCCCTTATCTATACATGTTAATATATTCACCGTCTATATGTCATGTACACATTGATTAATGTGTGTATGCCATATAAACGATGGACATATTAACATATGTCCACCGTGGGTAGCAGAGCACTACTGTTAATACCAAAGAAATAAATAGTTCGCTAAAGTTGCCGCTATTTGAGAAATAACTTTTTTTGGCAGCGTGCCGCTATTTGTATTCATGTGCAATTTAGCAGCTAAATCCCGCTAAATCTCCGCTATAGCTCCGCTATAGCTACAGTGCCATAAACGTTTTAGCCTGCTATTTAAAACCTTGGTTAATACCCATGTACAACATGAGTGTTGAGTTAATGAATATATGTGTAAAGTTATTTATGTCTAATACCAAATCTAACTCCAGAGTAAAAATAATATAAAAACAACATAACGAAGCATAGATTTTCGTCATGTCAGCATCCGAAGCGTGAGAATCTGCCAGCTAAACTCAACACGTTTTGAATTAATATATAGGGAGGGATATAGTTTGTGCGGTGCACAAGAATAATGATAAATCGTATATATTAAAGCTATGATAAAACATCGATTATCGTAAAAACATTTTTGAATATTAATTTTAACTTTATCATTTTTTATTGTCATAATATATAATAATTTAACATAATTCATATGTGTATTTCACTCATTATGAAATAGTTGAAATTTTAGTATTCGTGTTTAGTATTAATAAAAATGAAAGTTTAACATATTCAAACATCATCAATAAATAATACTAGTATAAAATGTTCGATTCTCAAATAAGTGATGGTAAAGTTAAATTGAGGCAAATATTATAAAATGACGCTCAATTAAAAAGAATGTAGTGTATATTATTTAAAAGTTGTAAATTTTTAAATTCTAATTATGTTAAAAGTATGTTAAATTTATAATCATGAGTATATTATAAATATTTGGAGTTTTTTTTTCTAATACGATAATTCACATGGTTGTTTGACACCGGTCTATTTATCATTATAATCTATAACAATATATGTTATAAATATGTTTTTCTAAGCTATAATTTACATTGTTGTTCGAACGATGACATGTTGGTTTATCATTATACTGTATAACAATATATATTTTAAATATTTTAGTTTCTCTTTCTGAATTACGATTTATAGTTTACATGGATAATTCCACAAATGATTTGTTGGTTTGTCATCATAATTTATAACAATATATTAGAAATATATTTATTTTTCTTTTCTATGCTTATATGTGTATTTCATCCGTTATAAAACAGTTGTGATTTTAGAATTTTATTTTAGAATTAAGGAACATGAAGATTAAACATATTAAAAAATTATCCATAAAAATGCCCACAAAAATATTTTTTTTCTCTTATACATTACTCATATACGTACTTGACCACAATATATTACTTTGATTTCTAAATAAGTAATGATAAAGTATAATTTATGGTAATTTATAACCTGAAACTTTTAATAAGAATATGTGTATATTATTTTAAATTTATAAAATTTACTAATTTTTAATTATGTATTTGACAAAAATATTGTAACTTTTTATATTGTATATTATAAATATTTCATTTTTTGTTAGTCTAATATTTCACATGTCGGTTCGATACCGGTTGATTTATCATTATAATTTTAAAAAATATATTATAAGTATAAAAATTTACTTCCTTGTCCGATAAATGACTTATTAGTTTATCATTATAATTCATCACTTATATTATAAATATTTTGTTTTTCTTTCAAAACTAAAAATTTACATGACATTTAGAGAGACGACTTATTGATTTGTCATAATTTATAATTTTGTATAATTTAATAAATAATTTGAGAGTACGGCAAATGACCTGATATAGTTTATATTAATGTCATATATACTTGGTCGAAATCATTATTTACTATGTTTTAATATTTTTAGCATTAATTTGTTAGGCCCATGTGGGATAAATATACCAATTACTATTTTAGGTTATTTAGTACTATTTTAGCATTACTATTTATATTAAGGGAGCGAAGGTCGTTGTTATTGGGAAAGTAACGTTGCTACTGGTGGTCGATGTAGACTAAACTTATAACGTAATCATGGGGGTGACCGACGTTGAGTGCATTCCAGGAGGTAGTGTCGACATACTATATGAAGCTGAAGTTTCCGACAGGAAGTTAGTAGGTGAAGCAAAG